TCATAAAGATGCAGGGGAGAAGCAGAGGGAATGAGACTGAAAATGAAAAACATACAAGAGATGTGTAGAAGTGGAGGAGCTTTAGATTTGTAGGTAGAAAGAAGAGGCAGGCAAGAGGGTGACAGCAAGAGAAATAGGAGAAGGTGTACAAGTCTTTCACTGTGCCCCCATTAGCAACAGATGAAAGTGATTATGCATGCCCAATGTTAAATGAACGTGTGCGTGTGTGGGAGAAAGAGCAAGAAAAGGCAGTGTGTTTGTTGTGTATTAATGTGCTGCCCTTTGCTAAATGCCACAGTAATCTCCCGTCAGGTCAAAGGAAGCACATCTACTGTTATTCATCAGCAAAAGACAGACGAAGGGATGCAGCAATGTATGGGTACACGAAAGGAGAAACCGATGATAAAGAAAGGCAGGTGTAGTGGAAGTAATGGATGGATGGCTGGATACTGCAAGTAGACAAAGAAAAGGCAGAAGTAGGGTAAGGAGGGATAATGATGAATGGCTGGGCAAAAGGAGATGGAAAGGGAAGCAGGGAGGTCACTGGAAAAAACAGAGAGAGGAAGAGATGATTTAAGAACTAGATGCTCTGCTGTGCCTGCCAACAGCATCGTGGCCCTTTGGTGTTTCACTATAGTCATCATTTTGTGACTTTATGTGTAAATTAAACAGTGAGTCATAGTGAATATTAAAGGTTAATATCACTTGTACATTATTTGTGTGCCAGTTGTGCCATTAAGCAGGAAATAAGGCAGAAATAAGGAAGTAATGACTAAACAAAATATGTCACCACAAACCTAACACTCACCACCATCGATGAAAATCAGACCAACCATTATTTTTATAGGTTATAAAAAGCTTGTCAAACACTTTCCCTCCAGAGGGTTCAGCTCTTAGCTGCTGTATTTCTGTTGAGTGCAACTGGAGTGTTTGCAGATGGGAAGTCAGTGAGGATTCATACTAACCAGCACAGATCCCTTGTTGGCTGAGATGGATGAGTGATATTGTGAATCTCTACATGAGTTACACCCTCCTGTCCAAAATAATGTTGGGGAAAAACTAACTACAAGTTTCAGTGTTTTTGCAGGGATCATTGTATCTCATTACATTGTAAAGGTGTGCCTCATACTGTACTATGTCCAGCCCACATTCATGTGTTTGGGTACAGGTTTTGCAAATTGATTTTGTGCAGGGATTCAGATGAATAAAGCAACTGACTGAAGGTCTGACCTGAATCTGGCTGTTAAAAAACCACAGGGCTGTGGTTAAAAGAGACAGACAGTCCTTGAACATTATAGGTTTAAACGCTCAGAGGCAATTCAGACATTCTAATACTGAACCTTTATCGGCCTGAAACAACAAGCACTCATTCCTGAAACCCTACATCAAAACACTGTGAATCCACTCCTGAGAAGTACAAATTTCATCTGAACTGGCCGACCTGCTTTAATGAAAGATGAAAAAAGAGCGAAAGAAAACAGTGAAGGAGCTCACAATTCAATAGCTGCCATCTCAGCAGTGACTAATTGAGGTTACTACAGCAATATGGGACTTGGATGCCTGTCTGCTAAAGATCATTTTAATTAGATTGGGCTCCTAAATACACACACGCATACACAGTGTAGGTCCTATTATAGTTGTGAGGAAACTCACTGGCAGTAATGTATTCCCTAGCCCCTAACCGTAACCTTAACCCTCACAAGTCGGTGCATACCCCCCAGCCCTATACATACAAAACTGACTTAAGCATACAGATATTAATGGGCTGACATATACTGTGTTTTAATGCTGCCAATACATGTACACATATATCGTGCATAAAGCCAAACCCACACTGGCATAAACACATACAGCATATAGTAACAAAAAACAAGGTTCACTATCATAGACATTCATACATGCACGTACAATCCACTGCAAATGTGGTTTAGAAACATTCTAAGTAAATGATGACAGTAGATTTAACAGTGAAAGTCGATCTGCGCAGTTGTTTCTAATCCAAATATTTTTTTCAGTTTAAGATAAAGCCAATGACCTATAATTACTTCTTGGTTTGTATTTGATTCAGTTATAAGACAAAAAGACCGTTTTTGGTTTTAGGATGTTTTTTCTTAGTAAGGTTTATTTGTGTGTGTATGTGCTCATTCGCTGTGTGTTTGATTTGGGACTGACAGGAAATTGACGTCCCTTGTGGGTTTGGATGAACACAATGAAAGTAAGAGAGAGGCCGCTGAAATCGGCCACAGCCCCGTGTTTGTTTTTATTGGATTCCACAATGAGCTGCTTTTTACTAATACACAGGGCCAACATAGCTGACGTCGAAGAACCCAAAACACACACTTACCTATGCACACAAACACACACACACATACGTATATGTGCATCAAGAAAGAGGAAATTAATTGTATTTTTTGTTTTTGATTTGACACACAAACATGCATACACACATATCTCAGTCTGGTTCTGGATCTACTTGTAAGAACACTGATGAAGTTTGATATTCTTGAACATCAAGCACACACACACTTACACACACTTGCATGTAAGGCTGACAGCTGCTCAGACTTGGACACACGGACCAATTGTCATATGCTGCCACCCAGAGGAGCTTTGGTCTCACAGCAGGTTCAGCGCTTACAATGTGTGTGTATGGCCTGGTATTACTAAAGTTGTGGGGATGCAAATCTGCATACACAGTCACATTGTGAGGACTTGATGTTCTTATGGGGACCAAAAGCAAGTCCCCAAAATATAAATTGGTATATTTTAGAGTGCTGACTTGGTTTAAGGTTAGGTATTAGGGTTAGATGTTAGGCAAGTAGAGGTTAGGGTAAGTCTCCAGGAAATGAATGTAAGTCAGTGCACTGTCCCCTGAAGTGTGTGTGAAAAAATCAATTTGACAATATCTTCATGTGTGAAACGCCTGTTTGATTTAACTCTCCAGACACTTGAACAAATTTAAAAGTGGAAGGATGAAGAGCTTCTTGGATGAAACTGGAGAAGCTTTAGAAGAGCTCAAGGACTAGAAATGACTACTGAATAGCATTTTGTGTGTTTGTGTGTGTGTGTGTGTGTGTGTGTGTGTTTGAGGAGCAGAGAAAAAAGAAAAGAGAGGATAGAAACTGATTAGGAGGAAGAACATAAGGATAGGGAAGACGGAAGACAAAATAAGAGAAGGAAATGAAATGTGTGCAGTAAAAAAGAAAGAGGAAACAAGAGTGAAAATACAAAGTAAAAAATGGTGGTGAGGTAGCGAACTAATATTTCAGGCTAGCAGACCATTATTTTGCTTGGTTGCAGTAGGCCTGTTTGAGAGCATTATTAAATTACATGACTCCTAATGGAAACCGTGTATGTGTCTGTGTTGGGTCTACAGTGAATTTGTAGCACTCATTGTAGAAACCACCAGCTAAATGCTTTTTTTTTTCTTGTCATTGTTGATTGAATAAATGCTTTTGTTAGTCATCTGCTCTATCGACGCATTAATCCAAATTTCAGATTTACATTTTCAGTTCATACAGTAATTCTTTAAACTTTAAATCAGCACTTAATAACAATGCATTGATTTTTTTTTAAGTAGCTTGTCATTTGTTTTTTATGTTGTAAAAAGTACAGACCCACCAGTACAAAACCAGAACAGCGTCATGTGCACAGGTGTACTTCATAACTAATGTGATTTTTTTTGTTTGTTTTTAATCTTAATTTCTTATTAAGTTCTTCCTATTCACTTGACCTCATTGTTTTCTCTTTCATTTCTTCTAGTCAGTATCCATCATTTTATGTTTTTACTATCTTAATCTTTTGCTCCATCTCTTTGCTCATGATTATTTCCTACTGTTTCCTCTTTTTCTAATGTTATTGCATCTGCTTTCTCTGTTTTTCACATTTCTATGGTCAGAGTTTTCTATGAAGGTCAGCTGGCCCAGCTCCAGAACTCACATCCCTGCTCCACTGGCTGTTAATGTAACATTACTGTAATCTTTATGTTCTATAAACATCTGCCGATCAAACCCAAATCAAGGCTCCTTAGCTAGTTGGCCAATGAGAAGCAGCAGACAAAGAGATGTATTGTCTTGATGTTTAGTCATGGTAGTCTGGAACAGACCACCAACGGGAAGAGTGGCTTCACTTGTTCTTTTGTGTTTTCGATGCTCTGCTTGTTTTCTCCAGGTTCGGGGAAGGAAGAGTTTGGGTGAATGGAGGCATGGTCAACTTTACCACCCCGCCATCCACCTCTTTCCCACTTTGTCTCTCATTCTCGCTCTCTCTCCCACTTTCGGCTGTGCCAAACCACTGTCTCTATAGCTGTCTGTCTCCACTCCAGCACAAACCACTTAGTAGGGAATCTCAGACACATTTTGTTATAGACAAACACACACACACACACACTTTCTTTGCAGGGTCAAATGTGGTGCAAAAGGTCACAGTCCCGGTTCATTGCAAGCTTCTCTTCAGTGGGAACCTTTATTTCTTCCAAAAATATCAGAACTCTAGTAACAAAGCTTCTTTCTTTAATACAGTGGTCTAAACTGTGTGAGTCTGGCCATTAAGTTGGATGTTTTTTTTCTCACCCCAAGGCGCAAGCCCTACACAATAACCATGCCTGTGCACTACACGGCCCATTCTAAGCCCCAATCCTCATATTAGGAAACCATGGCCTAGATCAAGGCCACTTTTTAATCTCTTCCAAAAGACAATACACTGAAGATGTGACCAGTCTGCTTTATGTTTGAGAATAACGTTTCAACACAGATTCCACTCATTTCTTTTTCATTTAGTTTGGTCCATTTGCAAAAACAGCAAAACAAAGACAAAAACATGTATAACTTGAAAATGTTCTGAGTCTGCTTTGTGTCTGTTTCTAATTTTCTCTATCATATTTAATTCCTTACTAATTCTCCTGTCTTGTGTGGAGTTTAACAGTAATGTATTATAATAGAAACCACACTGAAAATCTCTCCTTCTTTTTTTGTGTGTGTGTCTGTGTGTGTTTGTAAAAGCGTGGAGTCGGTGAATGATGGGCTTTTCCACACGGTCGAGCTGTTGATTCAGAACCGTTCACTGAACCTGGTCGTGGATAATGGTGCTCCCAAGAGCCTGGGCAAGCTAGCACGCCAGCCCTTCCTTGACCACAGCACCCAACTTTACATAGGAGGTACAGGACACACACACACACACACACACACACACTGAAGTATATGTTTGAAGATATGCAGTTGTAGACACATATACTGAACATACAGATGTTACTCTTGCCTGCCCTGTGCTGCCTTTTTGTGGTTGTGATCATAGGTTTGCCATGCATGGGTACATACAAATACAGTAACCCACAACATACAAATACATTCACACGCTAAATCCCAGCAAGGGATGTGGTGAGGAGATGGGAAACTGTTTACAACATGCCCTTGAGAACAGTTGAAAACAGATTTTTATTTTTCTCTCAAGTATTAGAAAGAAATAATGTCAAGTCAAAGTGTTTATTGTCTATTGTCATGTGCACAGTAAGGAAATGTGTTTACAGTAAAATTCTTACTTTGCTGTCCACAATGAATGCCAGTGTTGTTGTTGTGCAACAGTGAGTTATGTCATAGTCGTGGTGGAACATTGTATTTTGTTATAAGAATCAGTTGAGTGAAACGTATTATTCAAGTCATCCTCTTCTTTTTATCTGGCTCCTTCATTTTCTTCCCATTCTTTCATTTGATCACATCCATCTTCTCTAATTTGTCATCCTTCTTTTTCCATGTGTCCCTTCCTTATTTTGCATTTCCCAGGCATACCATCTCAGGTAGTGGCCTCAGGTCTACGTCCCAGCCCTGATCGTTCCCCTCAGGCTTTTAATGGTTGCATTCACAATGTCCGAATCAATGGGGAGCCCCAAGACCTGAGTTACAGAGCTGCAGGAAGAGAACGGCCACAAGAGGTTGAGGGCAAGGTAATTACATGGGGGGAAGGTTGACTTTTGACAAAAATTATGTTTACTGAATTGACTGTAGCGGCAGAATTATGTAAAAATTGTAATGTAAGAAAACACTACAACACATACAGCAACCTCTGAATCTGTTTTGACAAATGTATAACTATCAGTGTTATAACTTGTCTTAATCATTTCAGCTATAAGTTAAGCTATTGAGATATTAGCAAAGAAAGTTTGGCTTCACAAGACAGAGCAGACATCCAGGAAATTCAAATACACTGGAAATAAATGATGGTGCAAAATCATGCAACATTATGACAGTGATGCAGCTTTTGGGGCTTTAGATCAACTATTTTTATATTCAAGCAAATCACTCCAAACAAGCACTGCACTTTGAAGCAGCCCTACAAAATGTTTCTACAGCAACAACCTGCTGATAGCGGCTGTAGAAAAGAACATATGTTCTTATAACTTCATGTAGGCCTTATATTTACACTGGACCTTTCATGCAACATTAAAATGTTTGCTAAGTTACTGTCCTTCTTTTCTTATTTGTTAATGTTACAAGGCCCTTGGAATTGGTTTCCATTGACAGTATTTTCTTGCTTTTTGGTTCTGTCACCAGGGTATTCTTGCAGGGTGCCATTCCTGTGGTGTGTGCGCACAGGGTGCATGTAGGGAGGGAGGAGAGACAGGAGTAACATGTGACTGTCCTCCCGGACGCAGCGGGACCCTATGTGACCAGATGACGGCACCAAATCCCTGTCAGAACAGCAGGTAGGCAGAGAAAATGGAGACTGGGCAGCATATGGATTTAGATGTTTAGGAAGATGTCAACTTATTGTTTATACTTAAACTACTGCTGCTATAGTAGCACATTTACACAGCAATGAAGAGGTTTTTAAGATTTTTCAATGTTTGCGTTGATTTAAAAACTGTGGTTGTGCTGCTTTTCATAATGGTGGCTCTTGAACGGTTATTATTAGATGATTAGTTCATTTAACTGCACAAAGTTCATTAGGTTAATTTTATTTAATGGTTATATTTTTTCAAACACTTTACTGATTTTTTCATATTGTAAAATGAATAACTTGGGCTTAAACTGTTGTTTCTAAAAAAAAAAAAAAAGAAATTTGAAGGCGTCATCTTGGGTACTAAGTTGTAATTTTCCTTTATTTCCTGACTATTTGTACACTAAACATTTTATCTTTGATAGGTTAATATGAAAACAACTTAACATTATCACTGGAAGCTCTAAATACCTGCACTCAAATGATCAGCTGTGATAGCTGAGTTCAGAATATTTGATTATCCACATAGTCGTGCGGTTGCCTCTGGTTGAATATCCCTGGTCAGTCACCAACAGGAAAAATGTATTGTGATCTGTTAATGATATTTCTGATTTGATTTCCAAATCATGTGGGTGTGCCAGTTTTAAAGAAACTATTTGTGAAGCCACATACTCTCCTCTGACATGTCTTCCCTTCTGTTCCTTCTGGTTCCAGATGTGTTCATGGTCTGTGTGTGCTCAAAGGTCAGTCCTACAGCTGCCAGTGTAATGAAGGCTACCACGGTCAGTACTGCGATCGACGGCAGGAGCCTCGGGCCTGCAGGGGGCACCACTGCGGACACGGGCAGTGTCGCATCTCAGAGCGAGGAGAGCCGGTCTGCCACTGTCAGCCAGGGTACACCGGACCTACCTGTGACGCAGGTAAGATGGAAAAACTTTAATAAGAAAACACGGAAAGCAGTGAAATACTCTATGTCCTGATTTGACATTCAACTTTTGTCTCTCCTTCATCCATGTCCAGGGCTTACATGTCAAGGAGAGATGGTGAGGGAGCAGCTGAAGCACCACCAGGCAATGAGAACATGTACATCCACCAGCAAAATTCCCCACATGGATTGTTCCAGATCCTGCCAGGCCGCAGCGCCCTCCGGTGTTTGCTGCGGTGTCACTAAGAGCAGAAGGAGGAAGGTGCTTTTCCGTTGCACCGATGGCACCTCGTACTCTGAAGAGATGGAAACTGCTCTGGAATGCGGCTGCTCCAAGTGCCAGTTGTAACAGCACCAGTTTGCTCATTTGTTTTGCAACACCCACCACCACCATTTGTGAATTCCACATGTCAACGAAGCTGTTGCTCTGAGATGTTTCCAAGTTAAGGAGCATCATCATTAAGTGATTTTTTTTTTCCCTCCACATCAGTTTGACTGATGCCAAGAGAAACCACATACAAAAAGTAAAAGCAGGACGTGTGCGTGTTTGTTGACAGAGAGAAAATATATTGTAAGATATAAGTGAGAAAAAACAGAACTTATTTTTATTATGAATTTTTTCTAAAAGATGATAGAAGGACTGATGAGTTTTTTAATATGTTGATTATATAATGTGTTACATAGTATGAAAGTGTTATTTTGTACCTTGTAAGAAGTACAACGCAAAATAGATTAACATTCCTTAAAAGTATATGAATTTATATGTATGTATAAATCTATATAAATATTTACCCTAACCCAATGAATTTGATATTTTCTGAGTGTATTTGCATGATGTTAATGTGAGCGCTGATGTATGGGAGGCTTTGGACACTGAGAGGTTTGGGCTGAGAGAAAGGAGCTCTGTTGAATCCACAAAAAAGAAAAGGTAGCAGTCGGTTGTTGCCTTCTCTCTAAAAGGGAACTGTGTGTGCCTAGCTAACCTGCTTCACTATATAAGGGACATCATCCTCATTCCTGAGTTCCGTGAGAAAACATAAAGACGCTTTCCACAGAGATGATTTAACAGTTTGTTCTAATGGTCTGTTATTCTGTAATTTGCTGTTGCACACAAGACTTGGAGCCAAGCAGGGTTTGAAAATCTGAAAGACATTTGCTGTTCATTAATATTCCCCTATAAGTCGGGGTTTCCCATTCAAATCAACAATAGTGAAATCATGCTGTAAACTCAGCATCATGCTGAGTCTGTCTATAAGATGCTGAAATTTAAAATGGTTTTGAAAATCACAAGAAGTCGTGTGACAGGAAGCTGTTTTAATCAAACCTCCTAGTCACATAATAAAAAGGTTCTTTTAAAGAGTCATTTATTTGTTAGGCTGAAAAGCAGTGTTTCACTCTGGTTGAACATTTCAACTGTGCATCAGTGCAGGGTGTAGTCAGTTGTGGTCAGAGGTCTGCTGCACCTGTAATTATCCCCAACCCCCTTCTGACTGAGCAGGGAAACGTAATGCCAAAGTCAACAGTATTTGCCTTTAATGGATAAGTGTGTCAAAAATGATTGACTGAAATTGTTGATTTATACAAATTAAAGTGCCTTGGTGTACCTATTTTGAGATTCAGATATGATGCTGCAGTATTGTCAACGACTGCTACTGAATGATTGACCATTTCGACTGGTTACAGGCATTAAGTTGTCACATGGCAGGTGATACTGTACCTGTAAACATTGCATGGGGTTGTTCTTTAAATATTCCTTTATTCCAATCATGTGGGCATGTGTTAATATCCCAAAGCAATTAAAACAAATTAATTTGGCCAGAACAAGAGAAGACTTAATCATGCCATAGTCCATTTGGTATGCAATGTTCAGTGTCAAACTGCAGCATCAGCAAGAGCCCGTTTCTTGTTTTTCCCTCTTACAGTGTTAGTGAATCATGCATCAGTGTGTTATATGATAACATTGCATAATGTAGGCTTGATTATTTGGTGGACTATGTACTGTAAGGTGCTATGGTAAAATGAATATTTCCATGGAGCATGTACTGTCCATCAAAAACAGACACCTTGAAGTTTAAGATGAGGTGAACCTCAACAATGGCAGTATGGGGTACAAGTTTAATAAGTGGCTTGGATTTACTGACCAAAAGACAGAGTGCTCCAGTCTGATGACAGCAAACCTCCACATTAAGATGCTTCTGTAACTTGGTCACATGAAAGAATCTGATCTGGACCAAGGTGCCACAACACAGCTGAAGAAAACATGGACAGCAGTACAGTTTTTAACTGCCCATAAATGACTAACACAATTAAAAGCATAGTGAAAGACTATAATGTAACTACTACTGTATTGTTTACTTTATATAATGTTGCTTTGTTTACAAAGGGTGCAAAGTGTTGTCATACTTTTACAGTTAATTATATTTCTGCTAATCTGGATTGGAGACATCAGTGTTATTCATGTCTATCAATGTCACATTTTTCACACCCCCTCCTCCTCCTTCCTGATTGTTCATGTCACTTCCTTTTCTTCAACATTTTTCTTCCCCTCCCTTCTTTTCTCTATCTTTTTTCACATCTTTGTCCATGATGCCTCTTACAATTATTGCTTCCATTCATTTTCATCATCTCTCCCCCTTTTTTTGTTGTTGTGATTCTTTGGCTTCACACCCATATTTCTGTCAACTCAACCTTAATCTGTTTCCCGCTTCTCACTGCCCTGTTCATCACCTCTTTTCTTAAAGGTTTAGTTCTTCATTGTGAACAGTATAAAACACCTCACTTATTAGCTATTGACAATAAAAATAACTGTAAAGTCAGTAATTTCCATTTTCCAAGTTCTAGGTTTAAAAACATGAATATGTGAGTGATGATAATTGATACTTATGTTGAATGTTAAAATTAAACTACCATTGAAACTACACTAATCTCCCATGTGTGAGTTCTTGAGAAAATATCCATCCATCCATCCATCCATTTTCTTCCGCTTATCTGGGACTGAGTCGCGGGGGCAGCAGTCTAAGCAAAGATGCCCAGACTTCCCTCTCTCCAGACACTTCCTCCAGCTCCTCCGGGGGAATGCCAAGGCGTTCCCAGGCCAGCGGAGAGACATAGTCCCTCCAGCGTGTCCTGGGTCTTCCCCGGGGCCTCCTCCCGGTGGGACATGCCCGGAACACCTCCCTAGGAAGGCGTCCAGGAGGCATCCGAAACAGATGCCCGAGCCACCTCAGCTGGCTCCTCTCGATGTGGAGGAGCAGCAGTTCTACTCTGAGCTCCTCCCGGGTGACCGAGCTCCTCACCCTATCTCT